TGAATAGTTTAAATTTAAAATTCAGCTGTCATTAATATTCAGCAATCAGGAAAATATATACTGCATATTACATCCATTCTCTAAATATAGCATATACACATTAAAGTAGTTCACTGTAAAAAAAAAAAAAATACAGCAATTTAAAAATACAGTTATTTACTGTAATCAGGAACCACAGAAAAATGCTGTGAATTACAGCAACGCTGCTGTAAAAATTACAGTAACTGTCTGGTAACCTTTCTGCCAGTATTTTACTGTAAAATTTACAGGTAATGTTTTTACTGTGTGGCTTAATAAAGCCTTGTTTTAAAGTTTTGAAAAAGTTTAAAAACCCTTGAACTTTTAAGGTTTATAGGTCTTATGGGCAGAGAATCCATTACCCAGAATGCACTATGTTGAATTTCTTTTAATAAATTGCGCTTTCTGTCATTCCACTTCTACATCTGGTGAGTTGTGCAAAGTTCATATTAAACTTACACTCATGAATTGAAAGAATTTTTGCCCAATCCTTATCTATTGATCATGGTTTTTCCAAGTAGGATGTAATCGGTCGCCGTGATTTTGCTGAAGTAAGACATGTTTCTGGATCAACATCTTTTGTTGATCCTGGATCAACATTACTGTCCAAAAATATAGACTAAACCCAATCCCTACCCGTAAACCTAACCCTACCCATAATTTATTCCTAAAATCAGTGTGAAATGATAGCTGATTAACAAGGGTGTAGAAGCACCTAACCCTGATTGTAAGCCTAAAACAGACATTTCCTGAAAAGTTATCCCTCAATTCTGATTGGTTGATAGGAATGTTGTTCCAGGATCAACAAGGATGTTGATCCAGGAACATGTTGTACTTGGTGAAATCACGGTCACCCACATCCTGGATCTTTTTGGTCTTTGAACAACATTTCAAACGTAGTACTAATGCTGTTCCTAACATGCCCCTTAAAATTGAGGGAAATTCTGTGGTTCAATTTTTAAACTTAACCCAGGATCAACAAGGAGACCATCTGAGTAGGAGAGAAGCTGACAGAGACAGCAAAAGAAGAGCTAATGAAAATGAGTCGGAAGTCTTGAGAAAAAAAAAAAAAACACATTCATGAATATTTCATTCACAGCCCTGTGTCTTTTAATCACTGTTTTTCCATATTTGTATGAGGCACTTTGTACTGAGCAGGTCCTCTCACCCACCTTCACCATCTCTATTCACTTACCTTGTTTGCCCGCTTGATGTATTAAGGCACTGCCGCTCTTTGCCTCTTTTGTCCTTCCTGACCGCTCGCCTTCTTTGCTTCGGCAGGTCCAGCTGGGAATTACCTGAGCTTCGAGAAGGACGGGTGAAGGCCATAAGCGATTCTGACGGCGTCAGTTATCCCTGGTACGGTAACACCACCGAAACAGTGACCCTCTCAGGCCCCACGTCCAAGCCTTCCCGGCTAACGGTGAGCATGAACGACAACTTCTACCCCAGCGTGACTTGGGCGGTGCCCATCAGCAACAGCAACATGCCCATGCTCACGCACATCACCCGAGACCAGAGCTTCATCACCTGGCTGGTGGCGCTAAACGCAAACACCAAAGAGCGTATTGTTCTTCAGACGGTACGCTGGCGTATGCGCGTAGACATTGAGGTGGATCCTTCCATGCCACTTTGTTCTCGTGCCAAACTGATGGGGCGACCGCACCAGGAACAGCCGCACATTCTCAGCAACAATGAGCCCATCCCGCCCAACGCGCTGGGCAGGCCCAATGCCAATGATGCCCAGGTGCTGATGTGGAGGCCCAGGAGAGGACAACCTTTGGTAGTGATACCGCCCAAATAGGGTTGTCTTAACAGTGCCTATGGGACATTGAAGACTGCATGCACTGTTTGGACACTGGATTTTGGGATTGCCCTGTGGATTCCCAGTTTTGTTGGGTTTCTCAGTCAACTAGACTTTTGAGAATGGAATTCTCTGCTTTTTACTACCTTTAAACTTAAAAGTACTTGGTTAGCAAATGACTAGGAGTAACGCGTACTAAATGTGCCGGTTGGAATAAGCCCCTAAATTAAAGTAATTGTTCACTGAAAAAAAATGAAAATTTAATAACCTTCATGTTGTTACAAACTCGTAAGGTTTTCTTTCTTCTGCAGAACACAAAAGAAGACATTTTTGTCCATACAATGAAAGCCAATGGGGTCCAAAAATTTAAGTCTTAGAATATGACATAAATGTAGCATAACATTAATCAGTACAACTCGAATGGTATATTTAAAGTTCTCTGAAGCAAGATGATCAGCTTGAATTCAGCCTTTGATCAGCCTTTATTCACTCTCAAATAGAATCATTGATCAATACATTCATACACAGACTACATCAAATATATCGAATGTCAACAAAAATCAAACTTCACTGGTTCTCGCAAGTCATGTCATAATATGGACAAAAATAGCTCAATGCATTCTTCAATATATCTTCATGTTTGTTCCATAGAAGAAAGAAAGTCAAACAGGTTTGGAATGACATTAGACTGAGTAAATGATTACATATTTTTCTTTTTTTTTTAGTGAACTATCCCTTTAAGAAAACAATTAGTGATAATATCTTTACAATTATAAGTTGTTGTTTTTTTGCAACAAGGCCCTAAACTTTCAGGATGTGTGTTATATAATGCAAGAAAAAGATTGAATGTTTGGTCCCATACAACACAAAGTGAATCCAGTGGCATCAAAAGAAACAAGAGGTCACCACAGGTCCCACAGGAAATCTTTTGCTTTAGGACAACCAGCAAAACTCTTTAAAACTTATATCAGTCGACTGAGACTTGTGACTTCATTTCAAATGCTAACAGACATCTTTTACATGCTGTAAGACGAAAAAGACTGCAGAGTGCATGAAAGACATCTGCCAGTTGAGGTGGTGTGTATATGGTAAAATAGATGGATGCAGTGGGGCCATTCATCCAGTCAGATACATCCTGGCAATGGCGAGTCGATAGGAGTTTGTTTGTGCTCGCACATGAGTCCGTTTGAGTTTACGCAGTGGGTGCTGCACCATAGGCATTCACCAGATTAGTCACATGCCATACACACTCCATCTGTGCCATTCCACGTCCCCATCTCCCTCTCTCTATTCTCAAGCTGTCTCACTCCGTCCTCTCTCACTGACACTCCTTAGGTAATTATGACACAGAGGAAATTGAGTTTCCATTACAAATGTCAGGTTTACCTTTCAAGGGATACAAAGTAAACCTGAAAATGAAAATTCTTTCCTTATTTACCCATCTTTGTGTCGTTCCAAATCTGCATGACTTTTTTCTTGTGTGGGACACAGAAGATATTTTGAAAAATGCTTCTACTGTTTTTGTCCATGCAGTGAATGTTAACAGGGTTTAAAACAACATTGCACCTCAGTGACTTTCTTTTTATGTACCAAAAAAAAAAAATTCTTCAAAATATCTTCTTTTGTGTTTTACAGAAAAACGGAAGTCATACAGGTTTGGAATAACATGAAGGTGAGTAAATGATGACAGAATTTTCATTTTTGGCTGAACTATCTCTTCTAAGTCAGTGGCGCTTAATGTAGCACTTAGCCAATATTACAAACAAAATTGTCAAATAGGTTGCTTTTGATTACACAGTTACTGACTTTATATGAAAACTGGCCAAAACTTTTGTCTATGTAAAATTAAATCCCTTACTGCTACAGTTTTTGGTCTTTCAAAATAATGCTTTTGCTAATAAAGTGTCACAAAAATTACATACAGGGCTTTTTTAAATACAAAAAAAAATGGAAGAATAACAAAAATAAATAAATACTATAATAAAATTAATTGCAGTCTTGGCATGCAAAGCAAATTAATATCTAAATAAAGATTTTTATAAAGCTAACAGATGATAGTACGTTTTTTACAAAGTAAGCTCTAGGAAATCTAATGTAAAAAAAAATGAATTAAAATTAATTTTAAACCGTGGGTTCTGTCATCTTTCTCTGGAGTAAACTGTTCTGTGGAGGGACCAACAAACCAACATGAATACAGTATTAAGTGTGTGGCTGATGCTTTCATAAGAAACTGCTAAATTTACTAATACATAGTTTTATTCATTATTTGCATGCTTTTAATTTAGTGAATTGTATTGTTTGATTATGCACTGAATTGGACTGGTTGGAAATGAAGAGGTGATATCCAGTCTGGACATATAACAGAAAATAATAATGACTAACTCTTAAATCTAACAGAGCATTTATTCATGCCTGATGCTTCGCCTAAAATCACTTTCAAAGGAAAGTTTCGTTGGAAGTTGAGATGCATGCAGTACGTCTAAGCTTGGAGCACTGATCTAGACGAAGGTAGAATATACATCATATGGGGTTCCTTCTCTGTAATATGATAAATACCTAATTTCATCTCCCTCTATCATTTCTCAGTTACATCTTCTGTATCTCTGTCAAAGCCATACTCCTCCTCAAGATGATCATCTAAATAAAGATACATTAAAACATATGAACTCAGTATCTGAAAATGCATGAACACCAGCAGAAAATAAGTGCTTTCACTTCAAGATTTCAACATTTCATAGCACAGGATGTGCAGAAATGAGGAATAAAAATGTTGCTTAAAAATAACCACTTTCATATCCACATGCTTTCCTATTGCAAAACGAGTCTATGCAATGGAAGAGACTGAGTTTACTGTTGAAAAGTTTCATAGCATTGCATTACGGGCGAGAAAGTCCCAGTTAGGGGGAAACTGATTTTTCATCTCCCTTCTTGCATGCAAGTCGTTTTTGCATAAAACAAACTGTGATGCAACATACAGATTTCCACTGAAACCCCCAGCTAAGAGCAACAAGGTCTGACAGTTCACTCAAGTTCATTCAAGGACTAATAAAAGTGCACTGAGCATCTTGCAGGAGTCTGATCTCTTTAGCACCAGCTCAACATTTTTCCCACAATTATTCCACCAATCAAAATGCAGTCATTACTCCTAATGGTCAAACGTTTGAGATTCAACTTGTTTTTATTACCAGCCTTTGACCGGAAGACATTTTAGAAACACTTGTTATTGGCTTTGAGAAAATGATGCTTCTCAAAGCATACATAGAAGTAAAACAATCCCTTTTGTTAATACGCCATTGTATGGCACAGAAAATAAATATGAAAACTGTAGCAAATGGAATTTATAAGGCTCTGTCACAGAGATCCCTTTATGATATGTAAACACTTTTCAAATGAATTCCTTAAAGTCCTGTTGCTAAAAGCAACAAACAGTCCTAAAATCTAAAAGGTCTGAAGCACTTTGGGTTTCATAACTCTACATTTTTAATGTTAGTGTGCAGATAATCATGAAATGATAAAGAAGACAATTCAAGTTTTGGATGGTTGAGCGTTTGTTTCTGTGCTACTTTCTAATAGCATCCTTACAATATCACTGGTTCACTTGTCCTGAAGTACAGCATCTTAGCAGACACTGATGATTTGGGTTGTTTATCATCTTGTGTCCAGTCTTCTATACTTTAGCAGGGCTGACTGCAGGTGTGCTCTCATACCCGTAGAGAAACGTAGCAGCGATAACCAGCATGGCACCCAGGAAAAACACACTACAAAAGAAAAAAACAGCTTCATTTTCCTCAAGTTCCATAAGTGAGTCATTCCCGAGAAACGGTGCCATTTATGCCAGAAAAGTTCAGGACTTTTTAAATAATTTCATTTGAAAAGGTTATTGCCAAACTGTCAAGAAATCGTATTTTCACATCTCAGGCTGAAATTAGCAAGACGTTGCTGTCACAAACGTTAGGTGAACGTTAGGAGACGTTCCCAACAATATTCAGATTACTTCAACCCTGTCACAGTAAGTTTCGAATTTATAACCTAAAACTTGAATAGATTACTGAATACTAACAAATATATTCTTGAATAAATAAATATGAATTTACATATATGGAAATACTGATAAAGGCTGAGGGAGGGAACACAATGACAATTCACTGACAAATGAATTTTGTCATTTGTGGCCATTCACACAGAACGTGTTTTTGTCTTTAAAAACAAAAGTCGCATAAATGACCAGCAGAGTTTCTGCATTCCTTTGCATGGCTTTTCCATTGTTTTTCTATATAAACCTACGCAAGACGGATGTTTGACCGATGCGCTCACGTCTCGCTCACGTCTCCGACGCTGCAAACCATGTTCTGTGTGTCCACCAATGTTTGTTTTTTTTCCTGTGGCTAGCATAGTTTTATCAAATAGTTTCAATAGGAGCATTGCATTTTTAAGGAAGGCAGCAGCGTGATGCGGTGGCGAGGGCCTATTTCACACTGCACGCTGGGAATTTTTTTTCTTCTCGTTCTTTTCTTGTACGTTGAAAAATGTTCAAACTATGGGGAAACTTTGAGATTCCACCGTCACACAGCTAATGTTTTTAAAGGCAAAAACAGGTTTTGTGTGAATGTGCCCAAAGCGTTAAACATCTTTTAACATTTTTGACTTGCATTTGCATGTTTAAATATAAACAATGGAAAAGTAGCATATCGGGGTGCAAAAACGCTTTCGGTTTGAACAGCCCCTCAGGGTGTTTGAAAAGGAAGGTCAAAACCTTAAACTGAGTGCCTCGTTTTTATAATGCTTTATATATATATATGTGTTACATGCAAGATGCAAAATACGCAAGATGCAAACGCAACATGTTTACATATAAAAATAAAATGGAAAAAACAGCGCAGTGGAATATTAAAATATGTGTGAACGTGCTAAAAATACAAGATGCAGAGTAGTGGAATGATAGTAGTACAACAAAAAAAACTTGGAAGGCTTTATTTAGTGCTGTGCAAATGTAACAGTGTAAAGTGTGAAATTCACTTTTCTACTGTTAATACTTTCCCTTAAAAACCCTTCATCTTGTCAGTGTGTTTCTCTGAGACAGCTGTGTCACCCACAGATCCAGTTTCGACGAGAAGCGCAAATATTGTTTGTGTAATGAAAAGAAACTTCCTACCACTGCAAGCCATACAATACAATACAATAAATTAAAGTGTATCTGCTCTGCTGTAGCTAAAAATGGAATATTATGAATATATCAAACCAGCATAATGAATGAACACGAATGCTTAATTTGTTTTTCTGCAGATCCATGCCATGTCTTTGACACACCTGGTATAAATGGACTGTTTGATGGCTTGTTCAAAGGAAATGATAATGTGTTCTGGCTTAATTTAAATGAAAAATGACACAAATGTAAATTGACAATTTTTGTACTCTAGTTAGGAGACACATTTAACAAACAAAGATGTTGTAAGACAGTACAAAATAAACACTTGTGTGTGGATCTACACAAACATACTCTGCATCTCTTTAGATAAAATCATTTGCTTAATGAATAAATGTGAATTTACTTGCCTCAGAGGACAAAGAGGCAATAAAAAGACTGCTCCGTTTGTTGGCCCATCCCGACCAGTTCAACACAGTAATGCTGACACAACCATTTATGTGAGTTTAGAGTGGGATGACCTTTAGCCACATACTCGCTAAAGTCAAATATGCTTGTACTGTGCATACGATTTGATAATTCACATGAATATTCAGTATCTTGTGAATTTTACTAGTAGTAAGGGACACACATGGCACAGTTTCCAGAGAAAGACCCAAATACAATGTATGAGTTTTGTAGCAACTGCCTTACCTTGTAGGGTCAAAATCTTCCAACAAGAAATAAGAAATGAGGGTGGATAGAATGATTGAGATGGATGTTGCAAAGCCCTTCAGGATGTTATCTGCATATGTGATGACAGCTGCAATGACTAACCCACCCAAAGCCTGCAGGAAGTATGTGGAGCATGTTTTACACAAATAACAAACAACGAGATATGCAGGTCTGTACATATGTATAATGTACCTGAAGAGCCACCACAGTACACGTCAGACCGTTGTAGCCTTGAAAGAGTCCATTCTCTCGCACTCTTTCTCCATCATACACAAACACTCCCCCAAGTCCAAAAATCAATCCAAATAAACCTGAGAAGAGAGATGGAACAAGTGTGGCTCAAAAGCAAACACATTTCCTGAAACCTGAAGCAGAAACTTGTAAACAACAGCTACCAAAACTAAATGCATTTTTGTTTCTTTAAGGACAAAAATAGTTTGCTCGGCAGTTTCTAGGTACATATTTTTTTTTAAAGAAATCTGCTGACCTAGCTGAATATTACGGACCCAGACACTCTGCTTGCTCTCTTTGAGGATCTTTTCAAAATACACGCCAGCAAATCCGCTGGAGAAGCAGGCCACAAGCACAGCCAGCAGACCCATCAACTGAGAGCTGGCAGTCAGGTCCTCCTGCTTAGTGATTGATGTAACTTCAGTTGGCCACTGTAGGTTCAGGTCAAACAGAAACAAAGGAGGAGTCATATTTTTACTGCATACAGGAGTTTTCAAACACCCCAAGGGAGTGCTGAATTGTCAATAGAAAAATATGTGTTAAAAAATATGCAAAAATAAATAATAAATAACAGAAAAAGATTAAAATACACTTTTAAATAAATAATTTAATTAATTTAAAAAAATTATGCAATTATGGTAGGTATACCACTGTTCTACTAACATGTTTGACAAAATATCCAAGGAATTTCAACAAAAACCTTTATTTTGTGGAAAGCACAGTGATCAAAATACCAGTAACCACTGTAGCATGAAAGAAGATTACAACTAAAATTTTGGAGGGTTACAGCTGTCAGAAATTAGTAGGAATTGTAGAGGCCCCTGCTTTTAGCGACTTCAGCACATCTGCGGCCGCAGGACATCACTGGTTTCTCACACTGCGCTTGTGTGATCTTAGTCCACTCTTCTTCCACTCTCTTCCATAGTTTGGTCACTGTAGTGGGTTTCTTAGCAATGACTTTGTTTCCAAGGATTTTCCAGAGATTTTCAAACGGGTTAAAATCACGACTCTGGACGGGCCATTTCGTTATTCCAAATAAATTAAACTTGCTCTCACCACTAAAGTGAACTGTGGACCAGTTCTCCTCTCTCCATACAACATTCTCCTCAGCAAAGGTAAGTCTAGCCTTTTGATCCTTTCTGCTGATGAGAGGCTTTCTCACTGCAGAGTGCGCTTTCAGTCCGACTTCTTTTAAACATGCAGAGACAGATCCTTACCCTGATCAGCACTGAACTAGCAAGCAATTCCAGCTGCAGTGTTGAACCGATTCCCCATTGAGAGTATGCAATATCATGTCTTCTCCTGCATTTGTGTTACGTGGACGGCCAGCCTTTTCAGGGGACTTGAATTAATTAGTGTCATTGTAAACCTGCAATTTTCGAAAAATCAGATTTGGAATGACCAGCTTCTCTTGCAGTGGCTGAAACAATCTTGTCATCTGGACAACCTGCTGTCAGAGGGTTTCAGTCACCTTAGAGCAGCCCGCCATCTTGCAATCTCAGTGAAAATTAGAGGAATGCTGCCAGTTAAATAGGTGTAACACCGTTCGTAGATCGGGAAGGAGGAGGCGGGAACCAGCGAACATTAAAACATAAAACTTTAATAATCAAATGAACGAACACAAAACGAAAGTATAAGCGGCAGCCCCTCATGGACGACTGCCGCATAAAACATAATAAAACAACAACATAAATAGTCCAGGCCTGGTCCTCTCTCCTCCTTCACTGTCGTTACTCCTCCTTTTATCCTTCCGGACCTCCTCCGTGGGACTCGAGACCGGTGAGTGGTGCAGGTGACGCTCATTATCATTTGAGAAGCAGGCCACAAGCACAGCCAGCAGACCCATCAACTGAGAGCTGGCAGTCAGGTCCTCCTGCTTAGTGATTGATGTAACTTCAGTTGGCCACTGTAGGTTCAGGTCAAACAGAAACAAAGGAGGAGTCATATTTTTACTGCATACAGGAGTTTTCAAACACCCCAAGGGAGTGCTGAATTGTCAATAGAAAAATATGTGTTAAAAAATATGCAAAAATAAATAATAAATAACAGAAAAAGATTAAAATACACTTTTAAATAAATAATTTAATTAATTTAAAAAAATTATGCAATTATGGGATTAACATATTTTAAAAATAGAATGAAATTAACACAAAACAGATTTAAGATAAATATTATAATTTAAGTAAATAGAAAAATTAAGTAAATAAAAAAATTTAAAATAATTAGAATAAAATAAATTAGAATTAAGTAAATAGTACAAAAATATTTTTTGTTTTTTTCGTAATTTTTTTTAAAGATTTGTACAAATAGTTTAAAATAAAAGAAATAAAATGTATGTTTATAAATT